CTGATTCAGCATATCAACATTTTCTGAAAGTTATTTTTAATTTTTTTTACCTTTCACTTGAATTAATGTTTGTTAAGCTTTAATTAATTGTTGATTTGCTAAAGATGCTGAGGACAAATAAAACAGCTGTACCAAAATATATCCTTAATCCCACTCTTACCCTAAGAATTTATCACTTGAAATCTGTTTGTATTACAGTACATCCCTAAATGAAACTCTATTGTGCTATGCTTTCCTTCCTTCTGCTCTCCCTCAACCCCTATGTTATGAAGTGTGATCTACTGTGATGAGGTAAGTGAATAAAAAAATGTAATTTTTAAGAATTGTGCAATATATTTCTGTGGGACTATTTATTTTGTTCAAATTAGCAACAGTAAAAGCCACAATTATCATTGTTCATCAGATTATATATTTAGATGATGGACACAAGCTTAACTGTTCCCAGAGAGTAGTACAAGTTGGTCCTTAACCACTGGCTCATAATACCATTTTATGAAGCTGCATGGATCATGAATGTACATCCTCCAAAATATTTCAGTAAATAATAACAGCAAGTTCAAATGTATGTCAGGTGAGCATAAGGATTCAAAAGTAACCAAAATTCTACTCTAAAGTAGTAACATATTAATCAATTTGAAAAAAAATTGATACATATATTTAAGTGAAAAAAAAAGAATTTTCTGTAGTTGGTTCCGTTTAGTCTTAGCGCTGTTTGATGACCACCAAGTTCTTCAGCATGTCAAAGGAGTTTCCATCAGGCTCCACTGAGACCACGCCATACTCCTCACTTTGCACTTGGAGGAAGCCATTGTGGTCCAGTCCCAACACCAGAGCTTCCATTCCATCCTCACTCCAAAGATGTACCTTGGTCCCACTGAGATCAAAGCACAGAGAGCAATTGTTACAGTTCTGTTTCAGCATTTCAGGATTCAGAATTTCACTATGACATACAACTACCTATAGGAATTTGCCTCTCAACATAGAGAGAGAGCTTTAAAGGTTGAGATGACACATTGCCTCCACAGGCCCTTTCCCAGGTCATAACTGTCTCAAAAAAGACATCCTGAACAACATAAACTGTGATGCTCTCCCAACTCCAAAAACTGACTTGTGTATCATCAGTTTCACTGTATGGAGTTTTCCATTCCCTCATGTATTATGTATACTGTATCCAAATACTTCAGCACAATACACTCATTAGGGTGGCATCCAATTGGTCCCCAAATCCGCCTGTAGCATGACTTAAATAAATAAAAGGCTTGGTCATAAGTGACTATCTTCAGCTAGAAAACTACACTATGCAAGCTATTATTCAAAAACAATCAATTATTCAATTACAGCTTTTGGGGAGAATAATGGGCAGATCTTAGTTTTTCTAAAATAAGCTGATTGAAGACAGCGTTTCACAATTTTATGTAGGTAAGCCAGTCAGAGAATCAGTACTACTAAAGTTGGAGGTCATCAACTCTGCCGTTATATAGGGTGCAGGAAGCTCAGACTAGTTCTAAAATGTTGGCTGCCACCCGCCAATAAACTGAACGGAAGAAGACGATATTCTCCATGCTGCTATCAAAATTTCAAGTTGCAGCCACATTACTCAGGATGAGTCTAACAAATACTTATATTTTATACTCATATTTATAATTATGTTTGACAGTAGTATCATTCAGGAATCACATTCAACAGTTGACTCTAAAATTAAAATAAATTAAGGCTGCTTGCGTAGAATTAAAGGCCTGTCTTCTTCCAAATGTAAAACTAAAATTGAAATGAAAGTCTTCTCACAGGTCTGCTTCTTGGGTACGTTGATTTAGTACCTGATAATTAAAGCCCTCACAAGGACTTTTTAACTCGATATGAAAAGTCTCATTTTTTACAACAAACATTACTGCCTTCAAACCAAGTATTGCCATAATTCATCAAAAATAAATAATAATAAATCTAATTACAATACTAATATTCTGCTCTCATATAATGATCTTGTGTGTCCTCTTGTCATTGCATCTCCTGTGTATGGCATTCGGACGGAGAAGACATGAAGCTCAGTGTTAGACACTTTTCAGTAGATGAAGTTGTTACTGAAATGCCTTTCTACTATTCTGTCCTTATCTAATGTTCTGCTATCGGACTTGACAGATAGCTAACAGTGGAACCAATGAAGATGTGAGACTTGAGTAAGCTTAAGTTATTTACTTTGTTGCCTGGTTTTTTATCTGTTCATTACATCCCTTCTCTTGATTCCATTTATTAATATGTGCCCTTTTACTCTACATCTTCAATTCATGAGCTAAGAGTTTTAATGAGTTTGGCCCACCATCGTAATATTTCGGTTTTGTCATTGACTTTTCCACTTCGTCTGTATGGATTCTATCCAACTCTTTATATTTCTT